TTCACATACTGCTGTCATATTGCTTTTTTTGTGAATAACACTGTAAAGTACACCACACAGATATATCCTGGTAAAGTGAAGTATAATGTGCATCTTTCTGTATATTGTGCACTATGTGTAAATTATATGTAACTGTACAATGTTAATACCGGAGAGACACAAACAGCCAGAAACAAATTCCTTGTGTCTGTCAGCTTGACCAATAAACCTGATTCTGATTATCTGAATCAGGTGTACCRAGGCAGGGTAACAACAAAAACATGCAGGACAGTGGGTGTCACCCTAACCCTAAACCCCAACCCGAAAACAACATTTGAAATTATGAGACACAGGCTTTGGGCCCTATGGAGCCRTGGGTACTCTTAAGGTAGTATATTTTGACAAAATGGGTCTCAGAAGGAAAAGATGCTACATTGCAAACACACTTACACAAACTTGGACAAAAAAAGAAAGAAAGAAAATGCCTTGGCTTTTTAGATGTGAGCAAAAACAGAGCGTGTAAAGGAGTGTTTGTTCTGCCAGAGATTAAAACTGGTCTTAAATTAAATGACTGTTTATTACAGATTAATCAAGATCTTATTTTTGGTCCAAATTTTCAACAAATCTCAGAATTAGAGTAGTTTTATCCTGAGTGRACTAAGCTGATTGCTGGAAGAAAGATTAGAGCTTCTCTGGGATAAATCTGAGGTTTAAATTAAACATCCCAGGAGGCAGCTTTAACATTAAATGTGTTTTTTAAGAAAGCACACAGACTATTTAACATTTGTCAATGAAAATCAACAAATATCACCTAATGAAGATGTTCTTCTGGACAGAAGTGACTAYTGAACTGTATTTAAACACGTTTTTATTTTTTCTCTCTTTATCTGGACATTTTTGGCATTTAATGGGAACCTGTTATGAAAAATTTAATTTTTACATGTTTTTATACCTCAATTTGGGTCTGCACTGCTTCCAGAAACAGTCCAAGTGCCAAAAAATTACTCCCAGATGTTTTTTGGCAATGTGTAAATGTTTTGTTGGTGTCAGCAAATGAGCTGTTTCAAAAACTTGTGGATTGTTACATCATAATCTAGGTAACCCAGCAACGCCCAGCCCCTCACCTGGTAACCTAAGCGTAGACTCCACCCACTTCAGGAAGCCCACGTTAGTTCTGCTGTTTTAACAACAGTCATGGAGAACAGAGATGCGTGGCCTAAGTTTATTTCATTTTGATGGCAATGTCCCTGCGAGATTGCCAAAGAAAGTTGTAGTTTGTGCAAACAATTTCATGATGGACTCCGCTGAAAACATCTACCAGCGCACAGCAGGATTTACCCAAGGACTTTCAATTGAAGGAAAATTCATCACAAATCTGCAGATGATGGTGGTAAGTGATGTGTTGTGTGTTTAGTGTTGCTTTTGCTTTGGTATGAACATGATTTGTCATTTAACACAAACTAATGCTGAACAACAGCGCATGGGGATTTGTGTTGGAGGTGGCTGCAGCCTGGAGATTTTAATGCCACAGCACTCATCTCATGACACAGGAGCAGATACTGTAGTCTGTCCCTAYCAAGCCCTTGCCTTGGGTGGCCCATTYACTGCTGTTGTACCATTGTACATTTGCTTGTACTAGTAGCCAYTTTCATGTATCTGAAGTTCTAACATAAATGCTGTGTTGGGAGGGCGGAGCTAAYGTAAACAAAAGGTTGRGAGGGCGTTGCCAACTGCAGCTTATTTGCATAAACAGCTCGTTCTGAAGGGAGCTCAGAAGGCAGAACTGAAAAGATGAAATCTCATTCTCTGAAAATGATTTTGTGTATTAAATCYAACAAACACCAACTTGGGACCAGAAAGTCACAGGTTTGAGTCGCCATGTCAAGCCATGCCCACATGTCATGGTGTGAAAGACACCCAACCCCTCCCTGGGTGCTCACATAACTGCCTGCTGCTACACTTGGATGTTTCTCATGTGTGATGGGTCAAACGCAGAGCACAAATTTCATAGATGACAAATCCATGATAGGTCTCCTTTAACTGCTTCTGTGTACTTTATCAAATTTTAACAATTCAAATAACAAAATATTCAACTCAATCAAGACCTTCCACCTATGACTTTTTTTCTTTGTGTATTTCATAATTTTTGAAATACCAGATTAATTTAGCCATTTTTGCCACTGAAATGATCCAATTCTTCAAATCCTTCAAAGACTTTGTGCTTTTTGAAGGATAGCTACTTCAACACACTTCCTCCTGAAATAATTAAAACTTTAAACTAGTGAAAAAGTGTTTGGCTTTCACAACATGGTTCAGGTTTTAATATGTTGTATTCTTTTGTAAAACTTTTTTTTATTTGCAATTTTGCAATTTTAGGTTCCAGTAAGCATTTAATTTCAGGTACTGAACATGCTCAAGGTATTAAACTAGGTTTATTCAACATTTATTATTCATGTCGCATTTTCAAATACTCTACTTGTTAAGATAATTTTCTTAATGCAATAATAAATGGCACCTCTGTGACAAATAATTTCATTTGTTATGCATAAAGTAACATATACCAGTTTATCTGCTAGTGCTCATAACTTTACAGTTTTATGTATACGTGGCACTTTTTACAGTAAAAATAACAATTAATGTGGTATCAGTGGCCCTGTGATGGACTTGCGACCTGTCCAGGGTGTACCCCGCCCCTCGCACTGTGACTGCTGGATATGGGCACCAGTGACCCCCAGTGACCCTGAAAGGAATGAGCGGGTAAAGATAATGGATGGATGGATGGATGGAGGTATCAGTGAACCAACAATATTTAACAGTTTGTATGGCTATTAGTAAAATATAAAAACATCAAATAAACTAAACCTTGGCTAATTAGGTACATTGCTAAAAACAAACTCCACAGGAGCTGCTGTAGGTTATATTATGTTAAATTTATTTAAAAAGTGGGTATTTATAATGAGTGARGAGGTTTTGTTTAAAAAAATTGCACAATGTTGTTCTCTAGCCTCATCTGTTCATTGACATACTGCAGTATTTAAAAGTTTTGCTGTAGTCTGCAGCACAAACACAAGTCTGCAATCTATCAATGCTGTCGTTATGTCTCTCCTGCTTGGAGCCATAAGTTGAAGTTGGGCCTATGACATCATAGTGTTCAAAAAGTTGTGTTCAGGCTCTCAGTTCAAAAATGCAAGGGTGGCCTTTAAAGATCCCCTCAAACTGCCCACGTAGCAAAATAAGTCTGGCCCAGTTTTGGTCACACACTGCACAAACACTTGGCCCAGATAAACCAAAAGGATGACTGCCCTTTAGTGGATCAGATTTGATTTGCCAGAGGTGGTCCATGCATGGGCCAAAACCACATAAACAAAACCCCAATTAGGCCAGTTGTGGGATGCCATCTTTAAAAAGGTGCCATCATTGCCAGACCTGGTCCACATCCTGTTGAAAAACCACTTGTCATGCCAGCAGTAAGCCAGCAGTGCCAGTTTGACACCAGACCTGGGCCACACCTGTTTGCTATATGGGTGGGATCCATTTTTGTAAAACAGAGTTGCTAATATGCCATTTTCTTGTGGTAGTAAGACTGAAACATTAAACAAACTTTTAAAGAATCACAAAAACATGCTTCCATGTGGACATGACTTTAGATTATTGCAAACCTATGTGGGAATTTTGGGCATTAGATGCATGGCATCGTTCAATTTTTTCTTTCCAAATTGTCACTCGGTGACATCCTCCTCCAGGATTATGAACTCAAGCCATGTTAATAACAACCACTTAACTGCATTAGTTTAACTAGTCCGGATCAGGAGTGACTCCTGCTTTTATCTACATAATTCCTACATGTGAAAAAGGCAGGTTTGGTTTTAATGTTTTAACTGATCGTTGCAGGTTCACATTAGAAATTTTAACAACTGTAACAATGCCGGAGATCATAAACTTACAGCATATAGCTAAAGCTCTATGAAGTGTTTATAGGTTGTTTTGTAAAATCAAAACCTTTTCTTTTTCACCATGATCTTGTTCATTGATGGGGGTAGACCGTGTTAGACTCTTGCCAGAAGGTGCTGTTGCTACTCACTCAGACAAACATTGTCGTGGAAAAAAGTGAGGAAGTCGCTGCATTGTTCCCTGTGGTTGCCACTTGCTGCGCAGGAGCACCAGGGTTCCACGTTGGATGTGGAGTTGTCAAGGTAGTTGGGGGTTATTGTGCTTCCTGTAGAGGGTAGAAGAGGGGGGTACCAGGGCAGTTCTGCTTGTTAACAAGCTTCTCTGAGCAAAACAGATTCTCACATTAGTATAATGACTGAATCTGACCTTAGGTTAGCTCACATTAACAGAATGCGATCGCGGTATGTGATTTAGTTGAACTGAACTGAAGATTCAATGTTTTTAGATTTTTCCTGTTGTTCAGACCCTCCCACCTGCTGTGGAGCTTCTTTCTGAAGAACGTTTTAACTGTAAACTCCTCCAAAAATGTGCAGCTTTTAAAGGGATGTGAACAAAAAAGTTAACTTTGGAGTTTAACATCATTATTTTCTGCACATGTAAAAAAGTGGGCAATCCAGTAACGATAACCAATGTCAAAAGAATGCTTGTGAGTCTTTTTCTGTATATCTGTTTTAAATAGACTGACACGCTTTTAATGAAACAATCAGTAAGTAATCATTGGAAATCCAGCCACAAGTGATTAAGTTTTGGAGTCAACTCCAAAATAGATAAATACATTTGAATGAGTTGTATTTTATGCTTTTAGAAAACAACACTTCTGAGTCTCTTGTTCCTAAAGATCAATCACTGCAGCTTAGCACTCTGTCTGCTTTCTCCTCAGCTCCCCACTAACTGAAATAATGTTCTCATTATTGCATGTTTAACGTGAATAGTTTTTAAGTACTGTTTTGTGCTCTTTTGATAAAAAAAACAAAACAAAACTATCGAAAGTACAATAGTTTTGTTGTGTGTGTCTGCACGCTCCAGCTCATTATTATGTTGGGGATAATGCTCTCAAAATAGCAGTCAATAGTTGTAATTGCACTACTTATAATGACCAAGTGCACAGTAGCTACATTAATCAGCGCTCCATCGATCGCTGAAGCAGGCCTCTTTCTTTTGAGTCTCTTTCAGGGCACTTGTCAGTTTTATGCCGTCTTCTCTCTAAAACCTTTTTAGTTCCTGGACCATAACGCAGGGCGGGTGAGCCAGAGCTGGAGGATCAGTACTTACCTATCAAGCCGGTGTATGCGAGGAGACATGCTCCGTAATTCTCCTGCTTGCAGCCACTGGTGCTTTGCTCAGAGGGTTGGCAGTCATATTGGAACTGTGCCCAGCGAGACCTGTGGGAGCAATAAGATGTCATCCATCTTTGAAATACTTGGCTGCTTCATGTGTTGTGATGCTCAGAGGTGTCAAGCACAGGTACTTTGTCTTTGCAACAGGATGTAGATTTAAACCACACAATGCTTATGTAAATATATAATCCAATAACAACTGTCTTCATTCTACAAAATCTCCCACTCTGCAGCCCTTCAACCTCAAAACAAAAACAAAAAACAGTCAACAGGCAATATCTCACTGGGCTACAATTGATGGAGACTAGTTGGTAACTTTTGTATTGTGAGAAAGTTGTGTTTTCGACTAAGCAACCAGCAAACCATGAAGCTGCTTATTAAACTGTCATCTTTTTGTGTCGAAAACTTGTAAAGCTACATTTGTGGCCGTGCACATTATTTTGTCGTCCACCTCCGAACACGTCAGGATCACTGCGGTTTGTTTTGTTCCCACCTCGTCAGTTGATTCCAGTTATGAGCTAATCTGACAGAGTTCACCTCTGAAATAAAGAGAGGTAAATCTCAACCAGTTTTTCACCCACATGGTTTTAAAGCTGAACATTTGCTGAACAGATTTTTTTTTTCTGCCAGACGAGAACTTCGAAACACGTTTCAAAAATATATCTCCAGTGCTCCTGAAATGCATTGGTGACAGTCACGACACACTTTAAGTAGGTTTTAGCACAAGTTCTTTAACATGTTTAAAACACCAGCTGCAGCACAAATGTTTCTGCAACATCAGCAAATAAATTGAGAGTCACTGAATATCACAAGATGTTCTGGAGACTAGTTCAGCAACTAGTTGAAGTAAAGTGAGATGCCACCTGTAAGCCAGTATTTCACATTGCTGTGTCAAATTGCAAATGGCATTCACAAGGAAATTTCCAAAATGTCTGAAAATGTTTGCAGTTCTCATTCTCCTTGAATGAGTCTTTAAAAAGTCTCAAAGTTATAGCAGGCAAATTGAATTTTTTCTCAAAATCCTCTCAAACTAGTTTCTGCAAAATTGTGGGAATAAAAACTGTACAAGGCAGACATGGTTATCATTTAAAAGTGTAAATTTTACGTCATATTCAGCAAGTAAAAACGTRTGCTGAACTGCAGAGTGGCTTGGAAAATTTAAGATTTACTGAAAAAATTTTTTAAAGGTCCTCATTAGGAGCTAACAGAATTGCCGTGTTAGGTCTATTCACAGTTGCCTCTAAGTGAGCTGGCGTTCCAGTTACAATGAGAATGGTGRCCTTGTTATGTTTTACTGAAAGGCTTTTTTTAAAGAGTACTCTCTGGCATTCATATTTCTGACGGATACTACTGCTTAGAACAGTCTTTCCTGGGATTTTGAARATGATTTTGCAATAAATTGATAAAAATCAACAAGCTGGGTTCACCTGTCTCTCTTAAATGAGACATRTCACATTTAAATCCTTTGCTTTCACATTTAAATCATTCAGATGGGGTCTCTATGAAGTGGAACTGCAATGATTTGGTCTGAATTCCTCCTTATTGTAACTCCACAAGCCCTTCTTTCACCCCTTTTCTGAGGTGGGTCTCAAAGCAACTCTGTCTCTTTGATGTATTTTTAAATCCAAATGGAGGTGCTTCACATCCCGCCCCCCTCCAGCTTCCAGACCGGTTCATTCTAGTTTGATAGAGGGGCAGGAACTTTATAATTTACAAATTTATTAAAAGATGTCAACAATGGAAGACTTGTCCATCCAGCCTTTCCTGTTGGGTCCAGAGTCTGACCCAGAGCCAGAGGAGCATGAAGATGACCAAATTGAAGTTGGTAAGTCCAAACCTTATTTGGCAGTTCTGACACAAATACTGAGATGTAACATTTCAGAAAAGGTCATATGAAATAGAGAAAACTGAATGCATTGAAAATATGTCCTAAAATGAACATATGGGTTATCTATGCAGCACCAAGAGACTAAATTCAAACTTATAGACTGCAGAATGGGGCAGGTCGGGTCAGACGTAAATACCATATTTGGAAATGGCACTTTTGCACTCCAGAAATGAAAATGGCACTATTTACTATACTAGCTACTGTATTTGTTTATTTATTTATTTTTGTGGAGGAGTGGTTAGGGGAGTCATCCTGTAACCGGAAGGTTGCCAGTCCGATTCCCCATTCCAGCCATCTCAGTTGTTGTGTCCTTGGGCAAGACACTTCACCTGCCTTGCCTACTGATGGTGGTCAGATGGTCCGGTGGCACTGGTGCATGGCAGCCTCGCTTCTGTCAGTGTGCCCCAGGGCAGCTGTGGCTACAATGTAGCTCACCACTGTGACTGTGTGTGAATGGGTGGAAGAGCTTTGGTGTCCGGGACTTGATAAAGCGCGATATAAGTTCAAGACATTTACCATTAATTAAATACTTAATTACTTAATTAAATCTTTATTTATTCTGGCCATTGTCAAAACATAAAAGCTATGAAGCAACAAATCTAAAAATAAACTATCGTAGGTTATTTTCTTTCCTTGTATTCCTCATTGTTGAACACTATCTTTACATTGTTATATGAAGCATATGAAAAATGGATAGGAATCTCTAGTTTCATAAAACAGGAAAACTGGAACTTGAAGTCACAGCAGGTTCCATGGAACAATGTTGGATTGCCATGACAACAGTGTTAAACTTTTGGTTTGACAAAAATAAAAAGTCAGTTTTTTTGTTTTTGGAATATGAAAATCGAACATCCATCCATTTTTTGTTATTTATGATCTGTTTTTAAAACGAAAAAAAAAAAAAAACATAACCAAAACAGTGCATTTGCTTCTTTAAAGCATTTGTAAGTGATCATGGAAATGGTGTCCTCTTTATTTCAAAAGAGCCATGGTGCCATTTCCAAACATGGTATGGGTCTTTCTGCACTCCTAGAAACTCCAAGTGCACAAAAAAAAAATGCATTTAACAGCTAAAAATGGATTATGCATGTCCTCTTTAATTGATATATTTTTTGCCATAACAGAGAGAAGCTGTTGATAAACTGTTTCTCCATAACAGCTTTGTGATGATGCTTGGATGACACCATCTTTACACAAAATGTCTGAACTGTTTCATGACTATCACAAGAAATTCTTGATTTACTGTAAAATCAAACCAAATAATAATGATAGTTTATCAGACATTTATGCATTGTTTGCACAACATGTGTAAATGTGTTGTAAGCACAAATTTAGCCAAACTGCACCAGAACATAGATGTATTTTCTTTTATTTGCCATCATCTCTCCAACATTCACAACCAAGCAAATAACTGGTTTTAGTAACACCTTTTAGTAAACTTAACCTGCTGCTATTGTTCTTGTCTCTTTCTTCAGGCAGTTTTTGCAGAAGGCTACAAGGCTGTAAAGTCTCGGTGACGAACAAAAAGAGTTCCTGGTTTTACTCTTTAAATAGTGTGGCTGATGCCTGGCAGGTGTGGCAGCAAGGAGATTAGACAGATATGAATGTTCTTTATAAGTACTTCTTCCCACAGACGCTACGCCTTTTCCTCTTTACCTTTTCAGACAGCGACCCAGACATCTACCCTTATAACCATCATCATCATACAAGGCTATCGTGCCATCAGATCGCATCACTGGCCACCCATCTACGAGGATTTGCAACAGGATCCCCTCAGGGCACCACAACTCTCTGTTCTGTCCTCATTTGTCATGTCACTGTAATGATGTGCACACACACACCCATAAAAAACAAAAACGCACAGGCTTTGCAGTAAGTGAAGGCAGCCTATGYGGGCGGCCAGAGTTAATGCCAGCTGACTGGTGCAGGATTACTGGGCTGTGCAGGGACCTTGAGATGCTCCATTCATTGAAGCAGCGATAGAGAATAATGCCTGATCGATAGCCATGACAGATGAAGTCCTTTGTCTTTTTGACATTTGAAAAGAAACTAGATTAAATGCTAGCGACCATTTGCTGACAGAAAGGGAAGGTTGATGGGATGGGCGTGAAAACTTCACATTAAGAGACACCCTGTATGCATTCTAATGCATATGTTTGTCTAAATTAGGCTTAATTGTTGGCTCCAGATCAAACGATTTGGAATTCATTAAAGTTTGAAGGACATTTTTGTTTTTTTTAAGCGTCTCTCATAAACAGGTATTTAATCTGAAATAAACACTGGGGTAGTTTTTCTTGTAGTTTGGAATCATTTTCAGTAAAATGCTTACAGGTTCTGTCAAATATCGTCAGAGCATCTCAGGCATTCAAGCGAAATCCAAGTAATGATAGATGTTTATGACTATTTTTACCAGTCTGCTTCCCTCAGAAAATGAATTTAGAATTTAATTAAACTGCATAAACACATTTGATGGGTGTCACAACTGAATTATATCCTATGACAAAAAACAACTGAAGCAATGTCCAGGTCTGAACCATAATAATTAAAAATAAAACTGGTCCAATTTGAACTGTCTTTAACATAAACGTGTACTCTATGTGAGTACAGTGTTGGTGGATGTGGGCCGTGAAAGAATTAATATGGCCTAGATCAGTGGTTCCCAAACTTTTTATCTTCTGACCCACGAAATATCCATGGCAAAAACTTGTGACCCCAAATATTAC